TGTCATCGATGAAGCTCACGAGCGCAGTGTGAACACCGACATTCTCATTGGCATGCTCAGCAGGATAGTGGATCTCCGCGCACAGATGGTCAAGGAAGACCCAAAGAATAAACCTCTGAAGCTGATCATCATGTCTGCTACTCTACGCATTTCGGACTTCACGGAGAATAAACGCCTATTCAGAAGCGAGCCACCTCCTCTGATCAAAGCAGAGGGTCGTCAGTATACTGTTGTAAACCACTTCTCACGTCGCACACAACGAGACTATGTTGAGGAGATGTATCGCAAGGTGTGCAGGGGTCATCGAAAGCTGCCAAAGGGCGGAATGCTTGTCTTCCTTACTGGTCAGAACGAGATCTCGCAACTCGCGAAGCGGTTGAAGGAAGCCTTTCCTTCCACACAGGGGCGGGAGGTGAAGGCTGGCAAAGTCGTGATCTCTCCGGCAGAGACGCCGCTAGAAGCAGAAGACATTGAGCTAGGTGGGCAGGCCGAAAGCCAGGACTACTTAGACGATGATGGTTCGGATTCGGAAGGCTCTGTAATCATGGGACTTGATGATGAGGACGACAAAGAATTTGAGATCGAGGACGAAAAACCGGAGGAGACCGTCATGAACGTCCATGTTCTACCTCTTTACTCGCAGCTGCCCACAAATCAGCAGCTGCGGGTGTTTGAGCCACCTCCCGATGGTTCTCGTCTAATTGTCCTTGCTACAAACGTCGCAGAAACCAGTTTGACGATACCTGGTATCCGCTACGTATTCGATTGCGGAAGAGCCAAGGAAAAGAAGTACGATCTTATTACTGGCGTTCAAAGCTTCGAAGTAGGATGGATTAGCAAAGCCAGCGCCAACCAGCGATCAGGCCGAGCCGGCCGAACCGGTCCCGGTCACTGCTATCGCTTATACTCATCGGCCGTGTTCGAGCGAGACTTTGATGAGTATGCAGCTCCTGAGATCTCACGAACACCCCTGGAGGGCGTAGTGCTGCAGTTGAAGAGCATGGGCGCACCTGTTGTCAACTTCCCTTTTCCAACATCACCAGATAGGGAGAGTCTGCAAAAAGCTGAGAACCTGCTCTCGTATCTGGGGGCACTATCTCTGGACGGCAAGGTTACCAAGCTTGGTCACGAACTTTCGTTGTATCCTCTCAATCCGCGATTCGCCCGTATGGTCGCTATGGGTGTTGCGCAGAACCTCGCAGCTGAGACCATCGCACTGGTAGCGGCTTTGTCTGTGCCGGAACTCATTGTGCCGGAAAACAATCTGGGTCTTCGTGAGCCAACTAGAGATCCTGACGCCATTCGTACAGACCAGGACAACATCGAAGCCGAAGAGCGCTCACGGCTGCGCAGAGCTTACAACGCCGCACAGGCTAAAATGAGCATCAACGCGAAGCAGAGTGATTGCATTAAGCTCAGTAACGCAATCTGTGCCTACGCATACGAGCCTGACTCGCACCGATTCTGCGAAGACATGTTCCTCAATCCCAAATCTATGAATGAAGCTAGCCAGCTCCGCCACCAGCTCACCAATATCGTTCGTGCACATCGACCTACCGCCATCGGAACGTACAACCCAAAACTTCCAGCACCTTCAGAGCGAAATATCAATCTCCTTACCCAGATATGTGCGGCAGGCTTCATCGACCAGATTGCTATGCGCGCTGATCTTGCTCCTGTGCCTCCCGAGCTTCCGAGGAAGCCTAAGACTGCCATCGATGTGCCATACGTCACGCTATTCTCCTCACAATTAGAGCGTTCGGACGACCCACATTCGAAATACGTCTTCTTGCACCCGTCTTCTATACTTGCGCGTACGCCACCAGCGAAGATGCCAGGATATATAATCTACTCGCATCTCCAGCGCGCGGCAACGTCCACGATTACTGGCAGTCGGACACCGAAGACGCGCATGCATCCTCTTACTCCTGTTACGAGGCCACAGATTATCAATATTGCGCTCAACACACCGTTACTACAAGCAAGTAAGCCGAAGGGTAAGATTGCAGAGATTAGTAAGGATAAGCGGGAGTGTGAGGTCGAGATGAGCCTCATGGGTGAGAAGGGTAGCCAAGGATGGGGTCTGGGCATTAGAAAGGTGGTGCAAAGAAAAGAGCCTAGCGGACGATATGTTATTGAGCGAATACTTGGTTGAAGATAAATCGTGACGGAACGTAACAATATATTGAGATACCCGACAAACGACTTCGCACCTATACCTACACACTCTTGACGGTTGTCTACACTCACCGTACACTGATCTAATCCCTCGACACACTTGTCTCAACAGCAACCTTCTCATTTTGGAACACAGCAACTTCCTTCTCCACACTGCTCCTCCCCTTGCCCTCATCATCGTGCCTTGCAGCGCCCACACATTTGTAACTACTAAATTTCCTCGCAGGTAGCTTAGCCTCAAACATCTCATCAATCTCTTCTAATGTCCTATTCTTGACCTCAGGAAGGAAGAAGAAGACCCATGTAGCAGCAATTGCACAAGACGGCGCCCAAATGAAACCATATCTCGGCCCCCAATTCATAGACTGCGGATTGATAAAGTATGGTGCGGTAAATGTAGTGAGCCATGCGCCCACGAAACCGGCACTGGCAGCCAGACCAAATGTATGGGAGCGCAGACGCTGATTAGGGAGTTCGCCACCAGAGAGCCAGGCGTAAGTTGATATCATGCCGTTGTAACTGAACATGTAGATGGCGGTTAGACCAACTGTAACTTTCCCGGTTGACTTCGCGTTGGGCGCTTGGTGATATACGACAGCGATGATGAGTTGGAGGATGCCGCAGACAAGTAGGCCGGTCATGAGAAGCACGCGCCTGTTCCCGTAACGTACCACAATGAAGGAGTTTGCGATGAAGGCCACTATGCTGATGGCGGACAGGACATTAGACATGGCGAAGGGATCGGACACCTTTGCCATCTGGAGAAAGTATGCTTTGTATGCGATGATGAACATGGAGCCCGATGCTGCTTGGAGTAAGACGGCGAAGACGGCGAGGAAAGTACGGCGGCGATCGACGGGGTTGCTGAACATGTCGAGCCATCCTATGCCAGAACTTGTCTCTTTCTCCTTCTCAATGGCAGCTAAAATGGCGGACGCCTCTGCTCGAGAATCGTGGCGCGCAGGGCGAAGCCATTCGAGGGCTTTTACACCTTCTTCGAAACGACCTTGAAGAATCAGCCAACGCGGGCTCTCCGGGATGAACCATATCGTGCAGATGATGATCAGGGGAAACACGTAAATAAGACCGAGCGGGATAAGGTAGGCGGATTTGTCTGGTCGTTTCGCGGTGGCCCAGTCAATGATGGTGCCAATCAGTGTCCCGAAGGAGACGAAGAAGTTGAAACCTGTCAGAAACACGCCACGAAGTTCCGCCGTACTGCTCTCTTGCAGGTATAGTTGTGAGAAGGTCATGAAGTAGCCGTTCGCGAGACCAATAATGAGACGACCAGCGTAGAGGGCTCCGATGTTTTCCGTAGCCATCATCATGATATTGGCCATAAAGCAAGTAATGCAAGCCGCGACCAGACACATGCGTCGTCCAAAGCGGGTGGATGGAACACCAGCAGTAGCGGAGCTGATGAAAGCTCCCAGCGTCATAAGAGAGGAGATGAGCTGCTGTCTTTCTGTATCGATATTCCATCCCGTAGGTGTCTTGTCGGTTTGATATCCGAATATCTAATATCAGCAGTCAGCCATCAACCCCAAGGAAAGAAACCATTCAATTGTTTCGTACCTTGAGAAACCCGACCATAGCCTGCAAGCCTCCAATCATACCGAAATCGAACCCATACTGGAATGGGCTAAGGATCACAACACCACACGCAAGGAACAAGCGCGAGTGGTCGCGCCACGTGTAACCATTGTTATCAGACATGGTCAAAAAGTTTGTGGATGAAAACAGGGCAAGGCAGGTGGAAAGCTAGGTTCTCCTACAGCAGGAGCGTAGTCGAAGCGACGCCATTCGTTTTGCCTTATACCACGAAGATCATTTGCCCAATGTGGGCTGAATGCAAGCAGCGACTTTACCCATCTGCCGATACAAGTTATTGCCAAGTCCTCTGTGCAGATAGGCCTGAGTTGTGCGACCCCACAAGTCAGATGGCTCTCCGCTCGTTTAGAGCCAATGGTGGAAGGTACTTGGCGACTTGTGCATCTGTACATGTGGGGAAGAGTTGTGTGGATAGAAGGATGGGTAGTCGGTGGTTTTGTGCCTGAGACTGGTTATGTCTTTGTGTGCTTTGCAGTAGATTACGAACTATATGGAGCCAGGTTGTCCGATATAATCAGAGCGATGAAGATTTGGCTGCAGTTTGCGGGTTGTTCAGCATGAAGCACTGGACAGCAGTCTTCACCTCCGAGGTCTGGAAATAGTCATCCGTGTGTGGCTGGGCCAAGGAAACACAGTTGTTCATGATGAAAGTCGGTATCACAGTACCGTGAAGCAGGTGGATACAGTTGGTTTAGTAACACGCGCTATGAAAAGCAATTGGATAAATGTGAGCTGGAGAAGTATGGGGTGCGGGATAGTGGTTGGAGAGTGTGGGTCAGAACGGCTGTTGCGCGGGGAAATTAAAGCTTAGCTATACGGCGTGTTGAGTGGCACCGCGCAACTGCCAAGGGAACTATACACGGACGCCATCTTGCGTGTTTGCAGATGCAGGCGTCAGTATGCAGCCAGGGCGAAGTATATCGCGGATTGTCAAAGAAGGATCCGTGGTAAGCCTTCGAAAAGTGCGCTGGCGTACGTACTCAGAATGTACAACCGTTATCCTGCATTTGTTGCCCACAGGCACCGGACGTTTTTCTAAATTTAGTAATAGGTTTTTTCTTGAAAGAAAGACCAAGTACTGCTGCCACTGTACAGAGCAACACCCGAATGTATTGTTACCATGCTGAAACTTGACTACGGCGCAATGCTAGCAGACCAAATGAGCGCAACGCTAGTGTGGCCGCGAGTCCACCCCACCATGTTACTTCAATATGCCACGCATAACAACATCGCTCATCCGCAAGGCGCGCGCGATAGACGCTCTTCTTCCTGCTCTTCTTGCGCCGTGTCGCGAACTGCAGGCCGCCCAGAACGAGCTGCGATGGCTCCGCGAACACGTCGAGAAAGTCGCGAAAGCGCGTCGCGCCAAAGGAGACACAATAGCTAAGGCTTCTTTGCTACGACAGTTGGTCAGAGAAAGAGCCGCTGGAAAGCCACTACAGTATCTGTTAGGCACGGAGTACTTTGGTGACCTGGAGATACGCTGTAGGCCTGGTGTCTTGATCCCAAGGTACAGCATACTACGACTTCGAAGGGATCCATGCCTGACAATGCGAACAGAGCAGATACAGCCGCGTCAGTCACACATATCGCCAGTCTCCTACGGAATGCGCAAAGTCTCCCTCCAGAAATACGCGTACTTGATCTTTGCACCGGCACCGGCTGTATACCCCTCCTCTTCCACCACGAGATATCCTCGGCGTCGAATAACATAAACCTACGTGTTCTGGGTGTCGACATCTCGGAGAAGGCCCTGCGTCTTGCGAGACACAACCTTCAAAGACTACGCAAGACGCGACAACTTCAAGACAATGGGCCATGGGACTTCCTACAAGCCGACATCATGGTCAATCCCTTCTCAGATCAGACTGAAGGCGTCTTGTCGCTAACAGCTGCCCTCAACTTCAAGAAAATGCCATCTTTCTGGGATATTCTCATTTCGAACCCGCCGTACATCTCGCCATCCGCCTTCTGGAAAACGACCACGCGCTCAGTCCGCGGTTTCGAACCGAAGCTCGCGCTAGTACCTCCCCACAAGCTCAAGCAGACAGACATAGAGCAAGGCGATGCCTTTTACCCGCGGCTGCTTGATATTGCCAGAGATGTGGAAGCCAAAGTTGTCCTGCTTGAAGTTGCCGACCTGGAGCAAGCGCTTCGCGTAGCACAGCATGCACGCAATCTAGACATCTTCGACGGCGTTGAGATATGGCGGGAACAACCCGATGCTAGTGGCGACGCTGAGAGTGAACAAGACTTTGCAGTTATTGGCCAAGGCAACGCCCGATCCGTCCTCTGCTGGCGTGATCGTGGGGCATACTGGCTTGGCAAGATTGCGCCCTTGGCTTCATCAAACGAAGATGCGGATCGCCTCTTTCGAAGCTCATTCGTCAAAATGAGGGACGCAGAAGAAAAGGCTAGAGAGGTCATCAACAAGAAACGGTCGGAACCACGGTTTGATATGGAAATCGTCTCTGGGGCTGAACACAGTGCTACCCCTCTTCGCCGATGGCCTGATAATAGGCGAATGTCGGATCACTCGAAGACCAGATGAGCAAAGTGCAAGTCAAGCGTCTTTTCCTCCTCAGCGTCTGTGGACCGAGGTACTGTCTTCTCTAGATTGAGCGGATCTCAATCTGCCTATCTCCATGTCGACCCCGAGCGTCAAATCAACAAGGATGTCAACGAACCCTTCGACTTCAAGCACCACTCGCAGCTATACTCTGAACAAGTGACATGCGATACTCGTGGTTCATCGTGGTCGATGCGCCAGGACTTCCACCTCCCACATCATTACATATCAGACTTCCACCAGCACATTGTTGAGCTACTAGATGGCCTATTAGAACTGCTCGATGAACCGCAACTTCAATTCCCGATTTAGTTCCTGGAGCACAGTTTGAGAGTGTTGTCAGGACCTTAGGAATTCATGCCCTTATGATGACGAAAGGCCCCTGAACCAATTGGGTCTGTAAGATCAACTGGCGTTTGAACAGGCAGAGACCAGTCCGAAATACGCTTCTCTTTTCTGGATGGTGCCTGACACTAAAAGGTATCCTAAATGTGTCCACCATAATTTCCTTCCATATAAACATAGAGCAGAAGACCTTGCATCCACCTATGCCGAAGTCCACATCCATCCGGGAAGCAACATGCTAGAACGCATACGGCAGGGAAATGCAGGTCGGTATCGCGACAAACAGGCCACCCGGCAACGACTATCGCTGGGTCATAGCAATGACACCCATGCATAAACAGACCAAGGCAAAAACTCTCAAGCCGCCACCAACATTTGCGCACTATCGCTCCGTATTGTACATCTTCAGCGCAATAGGTCTCCCAAGTCTTGTAGTCTGCAAGTCATGCCAATCTTCGAGACACATATCACGCCATCGCATCTCTTTCTTCCAAATGCCCGATGGTCTTCTTCGGGAAGAAATAAGCCACGGTGTATGCGGCAAAGGATGCACATGTTGGTATCGCTGTCGCCAGACCGCCTTGCAATGTCGTCGCCTGGACATTCGCGACAAGATACATACAAACAACGGCTACCGCGATGGTCAACAAGACAAATCTGTGCTCTTTCGTCAGTTTATACACTTGAGGCTCTGCAGCTGGTCTTACAGATGGTGATTGGCCACACGATGGCAGTGGATGATCAAGTACGTTCCAATTGATACGGACCACACTCCAAAGACCCTATCATCTCGTATGAGCGCCATTTTGCTTGCAAAGAACATGGCCAGAACATATGCTACTCACATCCAGGACGATCCGGGGCTGATGGCACCGTCATTGCGCATCATAAGCCACAAGACGCTGGTAACGCCCATGGAGGGACCAATCAGTAGACTGGAATAAGCGATAATGCGATCTGCGAACAGGACGATGGCCGCCGTACATAGGCCTACCAGTGCTTCAGGGGCATGGTACTGGCCGTAGGCGATTTGGTGCGGCGGGCGTGGCTCATCCAAGGCGGTTGCCGGTATCACCATAAGCGAGAGGGCGAATGCGAAGACTAGCCAATCAGAAGCAAGCGCACGTGTTGCACATCTGCGAGACGCTGGGTCGGAAATAGGCCAGAGCACGTGGTACATACTCTCTTTAAGAGCGTTTCCCATGTCTCTGTATCAGACGGGCCCTATGGAACTGTAGTGTTGCGTGGTCTATCTGACTGCTTGGGTTAAGGAACGAATAAAGTGAGAGTATACTTAGCACCAAAGTTAACCGGAGTATCGAAATGCTATGATGGTTGAAAAGCACTTGTCTAGTCGGAAGAATGATAGTAACCATAGCAGAGCCTCTGAAGCTGGTTATATCGAGCAGCGGAGCCTCAGAGTATCAAACGTTAGTTCGCAAAGTTGCAAAGCAGGCAACAAGGCGTCAGTTGCATGGGGTAAGATCCTAGTAGTGGGTCAACGTCGCATGCAAGCCACAGCAGATTCCTGGCCCCCAACCATTTACGCCAGAGTATGTCTAGGTACGCGCGCCCAGTCAAGTCATCAAATGGATTTTCCGGTATGTATATGCTAGGGCAACAGTCGGTGCAGATCCTGTCCGTGGTCGCTCATGTTAAAATCGAAAGCAACTCGAACTCTATTGGTGGGTCGACACCAAGCTGTTCTCATATCTTGACATTGTAATGGGAAGTGCATAGCCACGAAATGTCGGAGAGTCAGGATGACAGCCGACCACTCTGCTAGCCAAGCAGATTTCGTTTCTTGGCTGTTTATCTGTTGCACTTGTCGAAGGTAATCATAATTTCTTGAAGTTACTACAAAAAAGGCAACTTCGAAACTTGCGTACTCTAAGCGACCGTTGCCGAAACAACGAGCGGCAAAGCGATAAGCTTGTATATGGCGAAGGCGCACGCGAATATCGGATGCGAGAAACCTTTGGTCCACAGTAAGAGCTTCTCTTGATGTTGGCTTGTATTCACACAGGACTGCATGCTATCTCTCGAGTGTAAAATTGGAAAGACACTTTTCTGGACCAATAATTGCGCACTAGTATACTGTGGTAGCATCTTGTAGTAGAGTTGCATCATCGCCTATACATACGTCCCTGCTACATATGAATTTTGTCTGTACCAATGGGTCAGCTAACCAACAGAGAACAATCTGAAAGATTTTCTCAAAAGGGAGGTACGGGTTTTCATTACAGACTCGGGTGCGGTGGCAACTTTGAACAGGTTACTAGAATTAAAACAGTGTGTTCCTTTGACTCGATCTTTAAGTAGCATTTCTTTTCTACACCGATGTCCATGTATCCAGACCCGTAACGAAAAGCGGATACATGCCCCACTAAATGAGAATACCCGCTCCAACATATAAATGGTTGCTGTCCAGTATTCCAAAAACGAAAAATAGCCCCTATAACTCCTCGCTGTATGTACGAAAACCACGAATTTTCCTTGGAAGTACCAAATGGCCTCAACACCTACACATAACATTCCAGCCAGCTGAGCTGAGTTGCGTGTTTGCCTGTCTATATTTCCTCAGCGTTCTCTGGACACTCATGCAGAGAAGTGACCACCAGCAGAATCTTGGCCAGGATTCGCCTGCTCGTAATTGAAGTGCTTGACAAAGCGGTAGTATGCCGAAGCAAGGAGTGCACCAAGTATAGGGCCAATCCAGTATATCCAGTGGTAGCTGACAAACGTTCGTGAAGCAACAGCAGGACCAAAACTACGCGCAGGGTTAAGTGATCCGCCCGTGAAGTAAACGCCTGTACAGTGTTAACTCCTTGAACCGGAAATGTTGCTCTACTTGAGTAAGAGGTAGGACGTACCACCCATCATGGCTACAAAAAGCGCTAGGCCAATACCGATTGGCGCAATGAATGTAGATTTGCTCTTCTCGGCGGCTAGCATCAGAACGACGAACACGAGCTCGGCGGTCATGAACATCTCAATAAAGACACCTTGGGCGATGGAGGTACCGCCAGATAGTGAAGTGTTGACAACACCGATATCTCCTGGAAACATGCATTCGACGAGTCCACCGGCGCACATGCATGCGAGTAGTTGAGCGGGAAAGAGAAAGAGTGACCGTATAAAGGGAAGTTGACCGGCAACCACCATACCAATCGTTACCTGGAACATGTCAGTATCATCTACCTTCCTCTCGTATGTACGAGTGAAAGAGTACGTACCGCAGGGTTGAACAATCCTCCGCTGATCCGAAAGAAAGCCCAAACATTTACCAACAAACTGAAGCCATACACCAAGGCTGTGAAGATATTCTGCTGACTGCTCGTACCGCCGTTGAGAATCGAACGATCACTGGCTTGATTGGTGATCATGAGTTGACCAGAAAAAGCAAAGAAGAGGAACATGAAGGTGCCGACAAACTCTCCACTGGCTGCTACAATGTGGCCCTCAAGACTGCTGAGATGCTTCTTGGGTTCAGGAGCGGGTACGTCGTAATCTGATTCATTGCGTGGGAGCGGACTACTGTTACCGTTTTGGCTCCGGGAACGCCGGCGTGGTGGAGGCTTTGGCTCGCGGTAGGTGGACATGCGCGGCATTGTCGATTGGAGATTTAGGAAGAGGGTTTGAGGAGGGAAAGGTCTTGATTTCGACAGGAAGCTGTGTAAGACAGATGGTAGAAGATATCGACGAAAAAAATGTCCATACTAAATGGACGGATACACCGTGGCTGGGGAACGCGTCCTAACGACGATCTAAAAGCAACTAACGGCCGCCGTTGTGCTATAGCGGTCAATCAATCAGGCTGACGAGATCTTAGTGTTAGCCAACGACACGGAGACGGAGGCATGACGATTGTGACGGAAGATGCGCGTCAAGGGTCCACATATAGTCTGAACCACTAAGTGTCGGGATCGCCGTTCATGAATGGCGAACTCCAACAAAGGCTGACTGAAGACGTGTCCTTGTAAAGAAAGCACCTGTTGTGATAGGGTTTCAGTATTCTGTGGGGCAAGAATATGCCGTTGCACACGGCTGAAGCCTCCGCCCGCCTGACGTTGGTGGCTGGTTTTACATGTCATGACACGATGATCGGTGATTGGTACTAGGGGCATGCTTGTCTGACGGCCGAGTTCTTGACAGTCGGAACTGGAATCGCAAAAAGACACTACGAGGTTGTCGGCGGCCCGCGGGAGCTAAAAAAGTCAAGAGGCTTGAGGAATGGTCCGCATCCCGATGTGATTCTGTGGGTGCAGCACGTCTATTTGAGTATTGACAGATTCGCACGCGTATGACAGCGCAGTACCGTAGTAGTATATACAGAGATTTCAGGGCTTACCTGCTTTTCTTACCCTGAACCTGGAAGATCTGTCGTTTCCTCCGATCTTCCCAACGTGCCCAGCCAGAATCAACCAGGTCTTCTTGTATCACAAGATCTCTTACACGCAGTGTTCTCAAGACCCAGGTTTCGAGAGCCCACTCTATCCAGCCAGCTCTCCGCAGATATGTTGTGAAGGCGAACCAAGCCAGGGCGAAGATAGCTCCGGCAGCACATCCGACCACAACTTGTTTTGGTGTATGATAGCTCAAATATATCCTGCTTGCAGCTACAGCTCCTGCACAAGCCAATGCTAGGAGTGAAAGGAGGAAACGGCCACCCAGTGAGAAGGGCGTGTGGGTATCCGTCGGGTGGGGAACGTGTCGGAAGAGGAGAAACAGGCCTAAGGTAACGGAGAAGAAGGATACGAACTGGGCGTGTGAGGAAGGCATTCCGTAGCCCTTTCCATGCATCTCTGTCTAGTATTAGCACTACGCTTGAATAGTGTCCTTTTCTCGACTTACCCCGCGGCCGCTCTTCCTTGATGTATCTCTTCAGAACCCAGTTGAGCGCTTCGCACGCCATCTGGCCGGCAAACATGAGGAAGATCTCAATCTCGCGGTTGGACCATATCAGCGTCGCATAGACGACGCACAGTCCCTGGGGCACGAGAGCAAGCCATGCGCAGAGGTAGGAGATGCGGTCTGCGGGATTCTGGGAGCATTAGCTGAGCTCTTGCTGTCAGCACAATGAACAAACACAATGGACATGCGTCAGCGACAGTGACGCAAGCGGTGGAGCCTCCATAGCGACTTCACGTGGGAGGTGAAGCTTCCAGGGCTGTCAAGAGTGAAGGATGCACATGCAGTAGCCATGACGGCGCATTCCCGGCAATACCCTGTCGGCCTTGGCGCGGCGCATGCGAGATACCTCGGTGGGCCATTGGCTGCGTTCCAGTGCCAGTTGCGACGACCTAGTTCTTGACAGCATCTGTGGAATCTGAGTGATAGCAATCCAGCGTCTGACTCACCATGGGCCTCTTTAAGGGGTCCTTTGCCTTTACGCGCTACCGATAGAAGACAGTCGCCACGCCCTTTGATACTTCGTTGCGACCGCATTCGACTTATCTCCGCCCTCTCTCCGCTGTCGCCACATCCTTATACAACTCACTCGACGGGCGATACACAATCCCCCGAGAAATTACCACCATAACAGTTTCACTATGGAAGACGAGCGCGCCGAAGAGCTCAGCACGCTGCAGTCCATCTACCCGGAGTTGGTTATCAGCGATAGCGACCCCTACTCTGCCACTCTTGAACTGCTCGTGGCGCCTACCAAGCCTTTGCCTATTACCTTCGAGCCACAGCAAGATGTCGAACGACTTCCGTATCTACCCCCACTACGTCTCGAAATTATCCTACCCGCCGAGTATCCCGAACAAACACCGCCCGTAGTGAGGTTGTCTACGTCGCCATCGTGGCTAGGCGAGGACCTCCAGGCTACACTCACAGCAGAAGCAAAGATGTTATGGGATGAGTACGGCGGAGGTAGCATTCTATTCGCCTATATTACCTCTTTACAAGAACAAGCCGAAAATGCCTTTGGTCTGGAGGGGCTTACGCTACCCTCCTCTATGCGGAAGGAGCTCGTAGATTATAGTCGCCGGATGAAGAAGGAGCTGTTCGATAAAGATACATTCGACTGCGAAGTCTGTCTCGAGCCAAAGAAGGGGTCTGCCTGCTACCGCATGGCCCGCTGCAGCCATGTCTTTTGCATCAATTGCCTCCAAGACTACTACAACAACTGTATAAAGGAGGGGGACGTCAACAACGTCAAGTGTATGTCCACCGAATGTGGTAGTAGTGGGAAGAAGAAGGACCGGCTGTTGTCGCCCAAGGAGCTGCTACAGATCCCTATAGCACGCGATCAAGTCGAGCGATACGCCAAGATCAAGCGGAAGAAAAAGATTGAATCTGACCCTAGCATCGTGTTTTGTCCACGCACATGGTGTCAAGGTGCCATGCGAACTACCAAATACCCCAAGATTACCGATGTAACTCAGATGGACGATTCGGATTCTGAAGCAGACGACGAGAGTCCAGCTCAGCAACAGGAAACCAACACTGAGCCTGGCCCAGAGAAGCGTGGAATTGGCGTACGAGGTATGGATCGGTTACAGGTTTGCGAAGATTGCACACTCGCTTTCTGTGTTGTCTGCTTAGCGTCATGGCACGGAGATTTCGTACGCTGCGAGCCACGCGATGCTACACAACTGACCGAGGAGGACCAAGCATCGCTCAACTTTATCATGAAGAACACCACACCCTGCCCGTACTGCTCTGTACCGTGCCAGAAAAGCATGGGATGTAACCACATGGTGAGTAATGTGCCTGCACGAGCTACAAGTGAACACATACTGACTCTGTACACCTATATTTAGACCTGCGCGCAATGCAAGTCGCATTTTTGTTATCTTTGCTCCGCGTGGCTCAACCCAGATCACCCATACGCGCATTTCAACGACCCCAAGAACAAGAACTGCTTCATGCGCCTCATGGACGGGGCCGAAGGCGACATGGGAAACGGCGCTGTGCAGTTTGGTGGTAGGAGAGGGGCTGAGCAAGCGGCGGAGTTCTGGGAGCAAGAAGCCCTGCGTATACAGATGCTAGAATTTGATGAATTCATACGATAGCTTGAATGGGTGAGTAATAGACAAGCACTTGCTGGAACGTAAGGCTAATGATAAAAATAAGAAATCAAACCCTATCCTTCCTGAACCATTGATGAATGCGAGTACCTACGCTTGCTGGACAACTCGCACTTGACTGCAATGCGTCGTGCATTTTTAGAGGTGCTAGACTCCTACCAAAGAGCTTTAACAGATTGCTCAGCATCTCGGAAACTCACGAGGACATTCAGGGTAGACTTTGCACATACCCCTTTGGCAGCTCTCTCCTCGAGGACCTATTACATTATTATTATTACAGCTTCGTGCATAGAAACCTATATACTGCAGATCGGCCAATCTTCTACACCGACACCCATCTCTCACTCCTTAAGCCAAAGGCTTTGCGCCAGCCAGCTGCCCCGATCCAGCGATTACGACATCGCTCAATGGTTTGTCACCCTGCCCAGTCCTTGTCGCCTCAATCTTCTTTACTACATCCATACCATCAAGGACTTCACCGAAAACGACGTGCTTGCGATCAAGATGCGGTGTGGAAGCGGTCAGGATGAAGAATTGCGAGCCGTTGGTGTTTGGGCTGTGGGATGGTTAGCGATATCTTAATGATCAGCCGGTCATGTAGCTTACCCTGAGTTTGCCATGCTCAAAAGACCGGGATGCGTATGCTTGAGCTCGAAGTTTTCGTCGTCGAACGAATCGCCTCCAAAGATGCTCGCGCTGCCGGTACCATCTCCGTTCATGAAGTCACCACCCTGGATCATGAAGTTCGGGATAACTCTGTGGAAAGTGCTGCCCTTGTATCCGCCACGGTTGGATTCGCCAGTGCAGAACTGCCTGAAGTTCTCTGAAGTGGCTGGCACGACATCAAGGAACAACTCCATCTGGATGCGCCCAATCGGCTGGCCTCCAATCGCAATGTCGAAGTACACAATCGGGTTATCGGGTGACCTGCGCGCCTTCACTGTCGCACCTTCTCCGGCCACTGGGATGTTTTGTTGTGTCGGCGTATTTGAGGCTGCGGGCTGTGATGGACGCGCCATCTCGGTCGATTGGCCGTCATTCTTCTCTTTGCTGCCGCAAATACCCATTGCAAAGGATTTGACTGTAAACGCTCCTTGTAATGTTGTTACTATTTGTTTGCGCAACAAAAATGATGTGCGCAGGGAAGTTTGAAGATCAGAGATCCCAAAGTTGGGATGACGATGATCGCATCAGGCCGCTACGGGAGAGCTAGCGGCATCTAGACTATGCAAGTACACAAGGGAAACAAGGTTGAGGCGATGACTTCATCGGTGAGATGTTTGCTTTTTAGTATGCAGGAAGATCTGTGCAGGTGCAAGCCGATGAATCAGGCACGTGTGGTAGTCGGTACGGGTGCGATTTCCTACAAAGCTGCGCGTGCGTGGCACCCACGGACGCGTACTACACCGCCATGCCCAACCTGACTACGTGTCTCTCCTTATACTACTGTTGATACAGTGTAGAACACGATGGTATCCTGGATAACGCTGTGGATATTCGCCGCCGCTCCAACACCCTCAGCCAACTTGGCCTTGTCGGTAGCGAGATTGAAGTTTTTCGCAGCTGCCGCACTGAAGGTATCGTGATCGAACTCCAACAATGCCAGACTGGCGATGACAATAGCCGAGAAGCCGTTTGCCTTGAACACGGGCTCTTTTTCGCGAAGATGCTTGGTAGCATTCGGGATGCTGACATCCACTATGCATAAAGTTAGGACTCTGTCCGTGCTGGAAAGATTGTGACAACCGACCAGTCGCTACCACCGTATCAATGAATTTGATCGTATCCTCCACGCTAAATGGCGGCAGAGCAAGAGTCGCACGTCGGAAACCTTCCCGGTTCACAGTGTGGATTTTTGCTACGCCAGCAAGCACCTCTTTGCCTTCAACGATGGCTGTCTCAAAAGAGCCACCCTGGAAGGCTTGCACTGTGGCATCGAGCTCGAGAACAGCGTTATGGATGTTGATCACCGACTGAGTCACATCTTGTGCTGTGGGCAGGACCTGTGGAACTGGCGAACAGAATGCGATGGTTGAAAGAAACAGGAGGGAGAGTGAGAAGTGCATGGTGTCGTCGGATATCTTGCTGTGATAGTGATCTGACACGATACCAAGCCAAAGAACAATACACGAGTCAAAATAATGCGGGGACGAAAAAGCAATCAATCCATATTGGAGCTTCCTATTATACAAGTTCCTGGTGATATTCATCTGGAGCCGAGGCACATCACGACATGCCGATCTGGCGTCGAAAAGAGCAACTAGTCACTTAGCTACGGAAACTAGGTTCAGCGGGTGTGCAGATCACCGGGTATCACGCCGCAAACTGGAGTAATTACTATGTATATTGAACTAGATCGTAAGGCTCTCTTGCTCGACATATTCATTGATTGGTTGTAAGACAGAAACAAGTATATTACGTTCTAACCGCATAGTAAATCGATCACAACACTAACCGCTCACCACTACCCCAACTCCGGCTCCACACTCAGTGCTCTAGAATCTCCTTAGCAACTCTTTCTCCACTTCGGATAGCGCCGTCCATGTACCCAGTCCAGTACGGGCTCGTCTCCGTACCAGCAAAATGCAACCCATCGACCTTTGCTCTTAACGCGCTTCCGTGCTGTGTGAGCACATTGGGTGGAGCAACCGCTACTGGACCTCCTCTGGACCATTCCTCCAAGTCCCAGCGCTGTAGCACAAACTCAGTCACGTTTGTCGCGCTGTCCCCGAAGTACCTTTTGTAATCAGCCAGAAGCTTCTCCTCGCATTGCGCCGGGGTCAGTTTATCCAGAGCACGCATTTCGTCGCCGAGAATGAAGCCTAGAATTGCGCCGAAAGAGGTGTCCTCGGGGGTGCTGTCGAAGGTTACTTTGGTGGAGCCATAGTCAGAAAAGACTTGTGCGCTCAGATTATCGTGGCGCCAAAAGGGAGTGGTGTAGATTGGAATGCCTTTCCCAATCGAGGGCATCTTCATCTCTTGGTTGAGCTGGTTGCGGCTGGTGGGAAGTGATGGTGAGAAGGTGATTTGACGCAGCAGCGGAGGTGCCATAGCTAGTACGACCTCCTTCGCATGTACCATTCCCGCTCGAGAAACGACTTTGTAACCATGGGCTGTCTTGGTGATAGCTGATACAGCGGCATTGAGGGCGATATGCTCACTGCCGACTTTCTTCGCTAGGGTTTCCGGAATGAGACCGGTTCCGCCCACTACCCGTTTCTCTTGAGCACCGTCCTTGATGGCGATCAATCTGTCTAGGGTTCCGACAGTTGTTTCGTTTCCAGCGGCTGCAATATATGCGACGACATATAACAAGGAGAGTTCGCGTGGTTCTGCAGCAAATATGGCCTTGCATGCTGTGGTCAATACAAGAGAGGTGTCCGAGAGGGTTGCTTGCTGATCGATAAATTGCTGGAAAGTCATGCTGTCCAGCTCTTTAGCCTTGGGATGTGACCATGGGGCACTCGTATTGAGCTCAGCTGCCCATGCATTCAGTTGCCCCTGTGCACCAGCGACTTCAACAAGAGACGACTGTTCGATTGGCGGTGCACCACCGAGTGCTGGGTCCGGTGTATAGGTAAGGCGGGTACTGTTGCGCCACAAGATGGTTTTCCCTTCGGCGTATGTATCAAAAGTCTCCAGTCCTAGGTCAGAGATCATTTGTAGGACTTTATCCTGTGTCGGACCAACGAATTCGGCGCCTACTTCGGTGACACCGCCATTCTTCAGAGGGTGGTTGTACACTTTGCCGCCGACACGGTCTCTGGCTTCAAGCACGACGACAGACTTGCCACCGTGAAGGAGCTCTCGCGCTGCCGTAAGACCAGAAAGACCAGCGCCGATGATTGCAACGTCCACTGATTCGGGTGCAGCAGTTGCTAAAGTGTAACTGGAGAAGTAGGCAGAAAGAAAGAGGAGTACAGCTCTCCTCCCGAAACGAGGGGAGACGAAACGGTTGCTCATATTTGCAGTGATAGAGTTGTGAAGACGAGATGGAAGCTGATCTGTTTGTTGATGGAAATCTCACTACCGAAGAGCAGCCTGCTCATATATACTGACTATTGCATGGCTTTAGGTATGTAGACAACTGCGCCTCAAGATCTGATCCTGGTCGTGGAAGGAGGTGAGCGTCCGAACCCGACCAGAAGGGCCGTTGTCAAATGGTGTTCAACACATGGCCATCTGTATGTGACCTGTCAGCAGCCAGGGTACTACCCAGCTTACGAAGGCATATCCGAATTGGGTTGTTCGCAAGGTGAGCTCAAAGTAGCAAGCGGTCAACAGGACTGGTCCAATCAGTACTGAAACATCTAAACTACACTCAATTCGATGTAAATAGCAAATGTAGGCTTTTACCGTGGTATCCTACAATTTGTCGGCTTCGGGTTGCTGGTGGTTCCCGAAGCCGAAAATGTACATCTGCCGCTGGCTATTATCTCGAACCTTCAGCTATGGCGGAATTTTGGGAAACGCCGAAATACCTGCGAAAGCCTCTGATCTCATCACTGCTTGAAATTCCGAAGAAAATAAGCTGAGGTTGTGCGATCATGGCGCTGCATGATAGAGTAGGTCGCAGGGTCTCACGACGCAGGTACCCAAGTAGTTCAGCCTGTCAATGTTGCTATTTTCGCGCGCACTACATTTTTGCTAACCTACATCTACATGGTGTCTACATGCGTATTTGCGCTTGTATGCTTGAATTTCTCTTTAATATCAATACGTCATCTCAACTAGTTTTGTTCGAGCAATCGAGTGCGTTCTCCAAGGTCAGCCCAATTCCAGGACGGCTGAGGGAGGGCTAAGAAACAGATACATCACACCCCGCCAAATGAATTGGCAAGGTTATGTCTGTATGTTGATTGTTTCTCTGAGTTGCCGTCAAGCTTCACTCATACCCTTCCTCATTGATACAAGCCGGCCGGCCTTACTGCGGCCCAAGGCTTCCGAGCCCTCCGAGATATTCATTCATCGTCAATGATGGACTTCGAATCGGCCGGTTCATGATTTTCCAAGAGCCGAGCACTCTGACCGAAGTCGCTAGTGCTGGTAGTTAGAGAGTATGCTACCGGAGGTTGTTGGCAAGCTGGGTGAAAGCTTCCAAGGTTGACGTCATGTGAGCTTCCGTCAAGGCACCTACACGAAAGCGCTCGGGGTTCAAAAGTGCGTTTTAGCTTTGGAGTACCCTAAAGGTATTCGGTATATTCCGGTAATGCTATTATAGATGTGGAAGTTGGTGAAGTCCTTCAAGGCACGTCAAGAAGTTGTTGGGTATATACAAATTTACCGGGGCTTTATTGTATCCAGGTAGTATATTACTCCTTCCTCCTAGATGACGCTCAGCGCCGATATGTCACCATTCTAGATCTCCACCTTAACTTCTTGCTCTCACTCCCAGGAAATTCTGCCATCAAGATCTGTGGTGTACCAGTTGAAGGCCAGTACTGTGCAACGTTGACTAGATATTCGTAGACGCAGAATCACTGGACGTATGAGGTCCATAAATCTCCTGAACTCTACGGCCCCATCGCTACAGACGAATTCCACAAGCACTTGTAACTGTGTCACTTTCCAGAACAAACACAGACCCTCGAGACATCGCAGGACATTCGCGTCGGTTGCTGGAATTTATCATCGTGCAAAATCTGGCGGTTGAACTTTGCGATGAGCTCACGAGGTTGCAAACCACTACCAAAAAGATCTTTGTTAAACAGCTTTTTGAATCATTTATCGGACTCTGCTTGATCCATTATTGTGTAGTTCATGTAGAACGTGCTGTTCCGGTACCAGGATTCGATAGGCTCAGAAGCCACTTTGGAGCTGACGACATCGTCTCGCCAATAGTACTCTGAGCAAAGCCCATCATTCTTCGAGTGAGGCTGCAAGGCAAAGTATGTAGTATATCTCGGCGGTTTGGCAAGGCCTTCCATGCACTTTGGTTGTTGGACTCGTTGACTAAATTCTTTTCGCGAGTGGAGATCAGGTTTGTCTGACAATTCTAGTTCAAGTGTGGTCAGGTACGCGTAGACCATGTCGCGGAGTTCTCGTGGTAATTTCTTGTGCATAGCCAGACCGATAGTACGACAGACAGCAAGATTGTACGCTTCGGCAGCTTCTTCGATGTCCTCACTCACGTCACGATGTATTCCGAATTTCTATTTGATACTCTCAACGGTTGGGACGGGGAAATTGTCGCAGTCGGCGCAAAGGTGAATGAGCTCTTCGAAGCCTTTCCGTTGGGTGTTAGACCGCTGGAGGTCGTCAAACATATTCTTCGCCTGCTAATGCTGCAACAGCCTGTGTTGAATTAGTATCACCGTCCAATCACACCCTACGCATAATGACCTACTTGCATAGCTGCTCCCAACAAGTTGCTACTGAGTCCTATCGGTCCATAGACTGAGAGGGATGGAGTTTGACCAGGGTGCAGTTGCAGGAGTAAGATATTTGGTGACGATTATCGCGCACGGACCCATAGGCGCGTGTTCACGTGGATGGCCCTGAGGCATTCATTCACCTAAGCAAGAGCAGAAGAAGATCAGGAACAAGTCACAGCAAACACTGAATACACTTCCCGTTCAGTGCTTACGAACGCGCGAGCTTCCCTAGTGCGTCCCCCTCCACTCTTAGACCCACCCATGCATCTTTCGTTTGCGCACCTACAGCCTCGCTCTGATAGAATTGAAGACTGGGCTCGTTCCAAGTCAAGCAACTCCATTCGAGCCTCTTGCCACCGACCTTCAGGACTTCTCCAGCAAGCTCCTTCAGGAGTCTCTTCCCGTAACCCTTCTTCCTGTAGTTCTCCTTAACAAAGAGGTCTTCCAGGTAGATACCTGGCACGCCTGTCCATGTGCTGTAGTTGTAGAAGTATAGAGCCATGCCAGCTACGGTGCCGTCAGGGTCAGTAAGGAGGAGTGTTCGGGCGAAGCCTTCAGAAAAGGTCGAGGTGGAAGGATCGTAGTGTGCAAGGGTGCGTGTAAGGATTTCCTCGGTAGATTCGACCTTGTCACTGGCTTTCTCGTAGAGAGCAAGCTCCTCGATCAGAGCGAGAATTGTAGGAACATCTGCGCAAGTTGTTAGTAGGCTCCCACTATTGCGCTGGAGGTGCTGTACCTTCACGGCTCGCGTGACGAACTGTTGCGTTTGAAGATGCCATTTTGGTTGTTGTAATGTTACCAAGGTCGCTGCAATGGCTGACTGTAGAGTAAAGGGCGCCGTTGATTTATGTCATTGTGAGATGCGCCCTGTGGTAGTCGCGATGTGGGGTAAAACTAGTCCGAGATGTAATCGGAATCGGATCTACCCCACCTAGGAAGGAGCTTGATTTTACTGACTTGTACCGTAAGTATTAAGACCTACCCTAACGATATACACTGTTCCTTGCTTGATAGCTCTTCAACCCGGATCAGTACGTATACCTTTAGGACAGGTTTTAGTATCTATAGTACAACCTAATAAACTGAGCTTCTTCTTATGACGCCTTCTGCTTCTTTGCTCGCGCAGCAGCAGCAGCACGCTTCCTCTTCCACTCATCGAGTTCCTTACGTATTGGGTTATCTTCAGGGAGTTGTTCGGCGAAGAAGGGAAATCGCATGTATTCGCCCTCTGAGTTCCGTGGCTGGACGTGTAGCGATTTGGCCAGCGCATGCTTCTTGGGCGCCCTCGGGATTTTGCCAGTCGCATCGACACCTGCAAAGAGCATTTCATCCGTGGGAGCGTTGTAGAGGCTGGGTTTGATGGTCTTCATAGCCTCACCCCAGATAGCCTTCCATCGCTTCTGGTCGTCATCCCACTCGAGCTTACAACAGAGCATGAGAAGCTTGGTATACATGCGCTGCATAAATCTAGTTGTAATAGCATGTGGTCGTTGTATGCCTGCTGGTTTATCCGCCTTACTGGGCTTGTCTAATGCAATGCCCTTTTCTACCGTGCTGGCGAAAAGTTCGTCTTCTGTAACAGGATCAGCGTTCAGAGCTGTACCGTGTCCTCTGCGTTTGGCTAAACCAATCTTTCGGTCGCCAACCATCATGGCATATATATTGTCCCACTCTTCAGTAGGTAGTGGAGGGAGCATCCTCGTCACGGTCTCGGCATACCAGCGTCGGACATTGTTGCGCGCGCGCTTGATAGGCATAGGTCGCTCCCACGAATTGTTGATGGGCGTCTTCATGGCTGAACTCTTGAGCTCCCGGTTAATGGAGATGGCCTTCTCCTGCTGCGTCCTGAGGACGGCACGCAACCGAGAATAGCGACTGGAGATTTTGATGGTGTGATGCGTCTTGTCAGCAGCTTTGGGCGCATCGAAGTACTGGAGGTAGCGTTTGTTGCTGTAGTAGAGCTTCTGCAGGGGCGCCGGACCTGCTTCGTTTGACGCCGCGATTGCACCACCGTCCATGATACGGTCAGGCTTCAGTATGTTCTCTAGCAGGGCATACTTCCGCCTTCCCATGCGACCGTAGGCGAAGAACAAGACCTTTTGCAGACATGGTATCTCGCCCTGGTTGGCCCGGCGCAGGAAATTCAGGCCCTTCACTCCTCTCCTCAGCAGTGGTCGTGTGCGCTCATTTATGATGGCTGTCTGGCGCCTCTTGAAGCTCCTGTGCCTGTATTTGTCCACGGCGTGGACATCGAAGGAAGCAGTCGCGTTCTGCCTGGGCTGGTAGGCTTTATATCGGTGGACAATGTACCGGCGGAAGTAGCTACGGGCAGTCGCATCGGGCAGGTACGAGGCTTCGCGCAGAAGGGCTCGCAGCAGGTGAACTGGCTGGACAGGCATGCGGGAGACGAGACGGAAGGGTAGCAGACGCTGTGGTGGCTGCGGCTGGGCAATCAAACACGCAAGACGTGTGATTGGCCGAGTGCGCACAACCGACGACGCGTTGGACGCGAATCTCCACTCTCTCCACGACGACGGCCAATTCACTCCCCGCCCACCCGCATACCGACATCGAGTCCTGATACGGCGCATATCGCCTATCGCATATCGCAACCCCTTCACCGAGCATACCGCTTCCAGCGCACACGTTGCGCGCCCCGACTGCACCTGCCCACGCTGCCGCCCAGCCTCCCTCCGCGACTGCCCCCATGATCGTCGCTTGACCCGTACAGTCACCAACAACACCGCCAGCGACTGCGCTGACATAATGCAAGTCGCGCGCTCGTCGCTATCCTTCCCCGCAGGTTCGCCGCCCCAGTCTGCCATGTACGCCCAATCTCCCCATGGTCAGGGACTCATGGCTGCGCCCGCTGGCTTCAACCGGTCCTTTTCCGACATGAACGGCTTCCAGCAGCACGCCATGGAGAAGCCGCAGATATACACCGTACGCACCACCACCACAACAACAACATTGCCGTCGCATTGGCACGCTAACAAACCTAGGCTGTTTACTCGGGCGTCTCCGTCTACGAAATGGAAGTGAACCGGGTCGCTGTCATGCGCCGACGCTCTGACGGCTGGCTCAACGCTACCCAGATCCTGAAGGTTGCTGGCGTCGACAAGGGGAAGCGCACCAAGGTGTTGGAGAAAGAGATACTGAATGGCGAACACGAAAAGGTCCAGGGTGGCTACGGCAAGTACCAGGGCACCTGGATCAACTACCGCCGCGGACGAGAGTTCTGTCGCCAGTACGGTGTCGAGGATGTTTTGCGACCACTGCTGGACTACGACATCAGCGTTGACGGCAACCAAGGCCAGGGCCAGGGCATCGAGACGCCCACCAAAGAGCAGGCCATGGCAGCCAACAGGAAGCGCTTCTACACCCAAAGTATGGACGGCCGCACCACCAGCCAGAGCGTCGGCGGTACCTTCTTCAGTAACATCTCCTCCACAGCCACCAGCGCCCTTGCAGCAATGAACAAGGTCGCGCGGCTGAACTCACCTGCCCCACGACCTGCCTCATCATCGCAGGGCCGAAGAAGCATGGCACGACCATCACAAGGACCACTCGCCAGCCAAGAATCTTTCCGCACCAGCAGCCAGCAGAGCGTAGCATCGGAGCGTAGTTTTAGCGGGCAAGGGCACAACGACTCGGCCTACGGCACAGGCATAGAAGACCCACAAGAGCCACCACGAAAGCGCATGCGCACATCGCAAGACGAATCATACTCGCAGCCCAACGGAGCAGACATGTCAATGCGTGATCTTGGTTCGCCGACAGAACCAAGTGAGAGCTTTTACCAACCACACCACACTGGACAACGCATCCAACTTCCCGATGGCGAGGTTCCTTCGGCACTACCACCTTTACCACACCCCGACACCAAGCACAACGAAGAAAAACAGGCCATGTTAACTGATCTATTCGCGGACCAGACTAGGACAGACTTCACCAACCACCCCGCCATACTCCATCTCTCTGGCGCTGATCTCGACATGCCAATCGACAACACTTCGAATACAGCGCTACATTGGGCAGCGACTCTGGCCCGAGTGTCGTTGATGAGGCTGTTGGTTTCAAAAGGAGCGAACATGTTTAGGGGAAACGCTTCCGGCCAGACACCGTTGATGAGTGCAGTTTCCGTCAACAACAGCCTGGATCATAGCTGCTTCCCGGAGACGCTCGAGATCTTGGCGCCGCTCATCGAACTACGAGACTCTCAAGGACGGACGATATTACACCACATTGCGGTAACGTGTGCTATAAAAGGGCGTGCGGCCTCCAGCAAGTACTACCTCGAAGCACTTCTTGAGTATCTTGTACGGAGCAATATCGGCGCCAGCCAGATGCCTTCTTTCCACGACACTAGCAACTACCCGAAACCCATAGGACTGATGAGGTTCATGCAAGAAATGGTCAACGCGCGGGACAAAGCCGGCAACACAGCACTTAATCTAGCAGCGAGAATAGGTAACCGCAACATCATCTCACAACTCATGGAAGTACAAGCGGACCCGACGATCCCCAATCACAAAGGAACAAGACCGGTCGACTTTGGCGTTGGCAGTGATCTTGGCGACGGCGAAGTCATCATGGCCGCAAACAGCCCCAGCAAGGGCAAGGCGCCCTTGAGCAAAGTTGAGGAGACTAGCCGAGAGATACAACCATGTAAGTCGAGACTCACCTTAGTTTCAGAGAGCCACTCGTTAACAGGAATTTCAGTGATGAATGGCATCCTTCAGTCAGCTTCGATGCAGTTCACGCAAGAAGCGCGTCTAAAACAAGACGCGATAGATCAAACGAACGAGCTGATCACCCAACTATCCACTCAACAAAAGCAGGAGCAACAAAGACTTGAGTCCCTACGTGCTCGGTTACGTGTACGACAAGACCGGGCCAAGCGAATATCGAATCTGAAGCGTTGGCTCGAGCCACAACGACACATGCTCTCCGTCAATGCAGGTGACATCGACCTGCATGAAAAGAAGAGAATAGGATACGCCGATCTGGAAGGTGCAGGTATACTCATCAAGGAAGACGACCTGCCCTATGAGCTCCGGCAAGCGGGTGATCATCTAGATTGTCGGGCTTCAGATGGAGCTTCTTATCTATCGACAACTATTCCACTGGACCCGGCAACGCTCAAGCAGGTATCGCATCAACCGCAATATCAGACCTATGCCGTTCAGCAACTGCCTGCTGCCTCGGTCCTCCAACAACGACTTCATACTTACACGAACGCGAACGGCGCATTACTCAAACGTAGCAAGATGCTGAAAGAGAAAGATGGGCAACTGGAGATGATGTACCGCAAGGTCGTTAGCTTATGCACGAAGGTAGAGGAGAGCAGGATTGAAGAGTGTCTTGAGGGCTTAGTGGCGGCTTTGGACAGCGAAGAAGGAGAAGGCGTCGAAGTAGGTCGGGTCAGGGAGTTTTTGAGAAAGGTTGAGGGCGTAGAGTAAGAGTTGTCTTTCGCTAGTTCGGGCGTTGGCACGGCCAATGGCCAACGTGAGCTTTGCATCGCAATACAATGGGTACGCCGGCGAGCGGGTTGTTTGGGAGTTGAGGGCTATGGAGACGGCTGTAAACTGGTTGCCTAGGCATGTATTCTAAGCGCTTCAGTGCGATTTTCTGGCGGCGTATCACCTGGAACTCGGACTGGAAGGCTACCCAACAAGTTCTCATACCACGCTGTCAATACCATAATACTTTACGACTTTAGCACGTCTCTGTTCCCATGGACAGAAGCTCAAGCAGGAGTATAAGTTGAAAGCGATGACTCTTCTTCGTCCAGTCGCGGAAGGATTACGTCGATGTCCATACTCAAAACGCACATTGTCCAATGCGCTAGGCGAAGTGAAGCGAAGATCAGGTGCCACTACCAGCTGTGTACGCCTGAACGTCAGCGGGCTCAACTTAACCACATCTTCTTCACACCACCTCTGCCAAGCATCATGAGCAGTCACTACAACGAAAAGCCTTTCCGCCTTCTTGATCTACCACGCGAGCTACGAGACGAGATCTACGAGTATGCGCTTGACTTCCATCGCTACCGGACGGAACTTTAACACGAGTTCAGCACAAGCTAACGTTTTTCGATTCATAGAGACGTCCCATTATCTGCTTCTCACATCATCATCATGAGACTAGCTTCATTCAGCACTAGGCCACAGTTTCTTTCTCTTTTCTTCCACATCCAGCTTAAGCCTTATCTTTGCATCCTTCTTTTTTTCCGCTTTCTTCTCCTTCTCTGTCAAATTACCCTCCGTCTTCCTCTGTTCATATGTGCTCTCCAAGACACATGCCTCGCAATCCCCTTTCTTCCCCTTGGTATCACCTATAACAATTCTTTCGCACAATGGGCCGGTTTTTCCACAATTAATCGTATCTGAACCCCTTCGTGTATATGGATCATGACCTTTGCCACCTTGTCCACAGGTAGGGCAGGTCTTTCTGGGAACGATGATGCACATGTCCAATACCGTTGGATTTTGATAGATGAGACTGTGTTTCGTGGTTTTGGTGGGGTTGATCTTATTGTAGAGAGAGGCATCGATGTGATTGGAGCTGGATAGGTCGATGAATGGAAGTGTGCCGCTCAATGTAATGGTTTATCAACTGACAGCTGTGTAAGTATATCGTAACAGATCTATCTCCTGTTAGTAGCGATCCATACTTCTTGAATAGGTAGAGCGTACTATAATTCACATCGAACTGCTATATCACAGCTTTGATTGGCAAATATAAGCCTTGGATGATCAGTAATAAACTGAAAATATTCACTTTACTTGTTGGAACTTGACTACAAGTCAAAATCCAAAGCGGTGCTGGCAGTGAAGCAGGAAGGGCAAGGGCATCACCGTATTTGTGCATCAAGGTACCATGCGGAAGTATGAAGAACGCAGAAACGAGAGTACTGATTCTATCTCCACGTGCATACTGTCCACTTCACGCAGTTGATGTCAAATTCAATGACAGACTATCACAGCAGCCTTCATCGTTATACGACAGCCTATTTGCTATGTTAAATATAAAGTCTCTTACGTGGTTGCTCTTCCTTTTCCGCATAAGCTAGGGACTCTCTCAAGGATTCATCATTCTATCACATATCCTAGGCAGAACCATACAGCTTTATGCTGGTAAGACTGAATATCATGGCAACAGCACATGCGATTATTGCAGGCTCTCAACTTTCGAGCAAACCTGACATTCCACTTCATCAACTCAATCAAGAATTTCCCGTTATTGCCCCAGATGATAAAGACGATTCTGACTATAGCAATTTCGGTGTTGAGGACGTCGATAGCGAAAAAGAAATCAGTGACGACGAAGAACAAGAAGAAGTCAGTGAAGACGAGGAGACTTCAGATGAAGCTGAAGAAGATAGCGATTTTAATGACATAGTTGATAGCGAAGCTGAAAGTACAGATGACGGCGAAGATGAGTCGTTGGATGGGAGTACTGCCGAGGAGAGCGATCATGACCATGCTTCAGACAACGGGGTTTCTGAGGACGACAGCGAAGCCGACAAGAGTAACAATGGTTCATAGCAGCAGGTTCCAATACAGCCCGTCGTCGACAAGCCACAAGCTCTTTCTATCACAGAGGCAGCTAGACGGAAGGTACGAGAAGCAGGTTCGAATCAGAAAGTTCCCATTGAAATGAACAGAGACCCGGCTACTGTTCAGGTTCTTCTAAAATCCACACAAGCTTCTCAAGTGATTGTTCGATCGCAGCAGCGACGCGACGTGCCGGCGAGACAGCAATTCAATGAACAACAACGCATGCAATCGATACAGCAACTTCGAGGTCAGGGGGGAATTCCTCCAGATCTGGTGAGTACACAAGTAGAGGACGAGGAAGAAGAAGAGGAATATGGCGATGGAGTGATAGAAGAACTTGAGGAAAAAGAGGGCACTGATGAAGACGATGTAGGTTTAGGACAACCATTTCATGCACAGGTAGATGGGGTAGCACCTCAGATGCAAGTCCATGCGCGAAACGAAGCATTTAGCTGGCAACGTCAGCAGCAGATGCAAGCTGTGCCAGCACATAGAGCTTTAGAAGAAAGACTGGTGGACGAAGAAGAGGATGCTGAAGACATAGTACAAGAAGAAGAGCAAGACCAGGTACAGCATCTTCATGTCCAAGCACAAAGGCAGACAATGGCTCGGGAGCGTCATGAACAGATACATGCTGCTATGCGAAAGGAGACTTTAGGACAAGAGCAGATACAGGAGGAAGCCGAAGAAGAAGCAGGACTAGCTGCAGAGCAAGAAGCAGCAGAAACTGCCGCCTATGTGACTTCGCAGAAGCACGGCAAATATAAGAAACGCCAACAAGCACTTCAGATGGAGCAGACAATGCAGAAGAAGGCGGATGACGAACTCGCTGCCATAGAGGCGGAAGAGCTAGCCGCACAGGAAGCTGAAGAGATCGAGCTACAGCAACAGGCCCAGCAGGAACAGCAACAGCTGCAAGAACAACAAGAATCACAAGACGTTGCCGACAAATCAAACCAGAAAAGGGCTGTGGACGAAGCTAAACAGTTGGCAAAGCAGGAAAAGGACGCAAGGAGAGCTGAAGAGAAGACGACAAAGGATGAAAGAAGAGCCGAAGAGAAGAGGCAAAGGGATGAAAGGAAGGCTGCCGACCGTGACGAACGTGAGAATCGTCGAAGAGAAGACACAGAGGCCAAGCGAGAAAGAAGAGCTGAGGAAGCTGAGCAGAGAAGAGGGCAGCGCGATATAGACAACGAAGCTAAGAAGGAGAAGAGAGCGAACGATCTGGAGATGAAGACGACCCAGGCAGAAGAAAGGCGGGATCGGGAGGCTGAAGAAGCCACTCAGCGGCAACAGCAACAAGAGATAGATCGAGAAGCTCGCAAAACAGAAAGAGAACTCCAGTCAGCTGATAAAATCGAACGGGCACGGGAGAAAGCGGATCGCAAAGCCATGGAGGCAACTCAGTGTCTCGAAGAGCGGGCTATGACACAGGAAGCTAGAAAGGCTGAACAGGAAACAAACATGCAAAGCCGATTGAGTGAGAGGCAACACAAGATAGACCAGAAGGCTGCTGAAGCCGCGTATCGTCTAGAGGAACGTGCTATGCAACGGGAAGACAAGGTGCAGCAACATCAAAGAGACTTAGACGATAATAGGGCTAGACGAGAAACTGAAGCTGAAGATAAGAGGCTTAGGAAGGAGGCCGAGGAAGAGAATAGAGCATCCAAGAAAGAGGCTGACCGTGAGAGAAAGATACAACAACAAGAGGACAAGCAGCGTATGAGGGAAGAGGAAGAGGAACGACATATAGAGACCAGCAGTACCATGGATAGGCCACAGAGAGGCACAGCTCGACAATCCCATACAGCCACCGAAGAGATTCGCGATATCCCAGTACCCCAAACTTACGATACAGCATGTAGAGACCAGAATCGACAAGCGTATGGTGAGGAAGGCAGTTTTCAAGAAGACCAATGGGATGAGAATCGAAGACAGCATCTAGAGGGACACCCAGGCGTGCCACACACTGGCGCTGTACGTCATGATCATCGAGGCGAGCGTTGTTCAGGCCATGGTCAGCAAAGACATCGGCACGAGCAGAATGGCATGCATGTCAACCTCACACCGGAGCAACATGCAAAGGCGGAGCGAGAAGCACAGGAAGCAAATCTCATAGCAAAGAAAAAGGCAGAGAGGAAGTTGAAAAGAGAAACTAAGAAAGCCAAGACTAAGCAAAATTCCAATAGTTTCAATGGTCAAGGTAAAGTTGACAAGGATGGAAAAGGTGGAGTTCAAAGCACTACCCAACTACAATCTGGTACAGATCAAACCTTGGTTTTGGAGAAGAGAGCCAATAGAAAATTGGCAAAGTCAGACATGAAAGCAGCAAAGAAAGATGCCAATATCCGACAACGGGTGGCCGGAATGGGAAAAGACAGCGTAGATAGCGAGCAGAAAGGCGAGATGGAGCTACCCACGAGTATGGAGGGAGAAGTAGAGAAAAAGCGAGTTGAGAGGAAAGCAGTGAAGCAGGACAAGAAGGCAGCGAAAAAGGATGCTGACGCCTGGAAACAGGCTACTGAGTCGGGTGTCAAAAATGGCAGTGCGGTTACAGACCAGACAGATGCCAATGGTCAAAAGGAGAAGCGGAACGAAGGAGACGGTGCAAAACCCAACCAGGAGAGCTTCGTAGAACAAGACAGGGACACAGAGAACTTAGGGGGATCACCGAAGGGAGTTATCATAGCGAAAAAGAGGGCCGAGAGAAAAGCCACGAAAGACGGAAAGGGCGCTGAGCACAAGGAGAGTAAGACTGGAGATTTCGAGTCAGACGGCAAAGACGATATGGCTTCAGAACCCAAAGCCGCTAAGGAAGAGGCTTACGAACATAAGAAGGAGGTGAATGCAACGAAAGTTGAAGTTAAGAGAACAGCTTTGGAGTTGAGATTGGTGCACAAGACTGAGAAAGCTAACACGAAGGAGGCTGAGGAGGCTGATAAGAAAGAACTCCCGAATGCTAAAGGGTCTCCGAACGACAAAGATGCAAAGTATGCTGGAAAGTCTGAGAAGACTAGCCCCACAGAAGCCAATAAGGAGGCTAAGAAGGCGGAGAAGACACGGCAGAAGCTTGAAGCAAAGGTACTAGCATCAGATAAGAAGGCAATAGACAAGGAGGAAAAGCTAAGGCAGAAGTCTACTGCAAAGCACGATACTGCTGGCACCAAGGATACTGACAAGGAGGAGAAGCGGAAACAAAAGCTGGCAGCAAAAGAAGCTGTTGAAGATGAGAATCGGAGGCTAAAACTAGCAGCAAAAGATGCGGCCAAAATAGAGAAACTAGAGCGGAAGATTGCGGAAAAGGAAGAGAAGTCGAAACTCAGAGCTGCAGCCAAAGAGGTCTCCAAAGAGGAGAAGCTCAAGCAGACAATCGCCGAGAAAGAAGAACGAAGGAGACAGAAGCTAGCAGCCAAGGAAGCTGATAAAGAAGAGAAACTCAGGCAGAAGACCGCCGCCAAAGAAGAAGCGACTGGAAGAAAAGAGCACGACAAGGAAGAGAAGCTTAAACAAAAAGAGGCCGCCCACGACCAAGCTGTCTACCAGAAGGAACTAGATAAGGCTGCAAAGGCCGAGAAGAAGGAACAAGACAGAGTTCTCAAAGCTCAGCAGAAGGAGAGGGACCAGATCGCAAAGGCTGAGCAGAAACAGAAAGACCAGGCTGCTAAGGCGCAACAGAAGGAAAGAGACAAAGCAGACGCGCAGCTGAGAAAGCAAAAAGAGATGATGGTTGCAGCGCAGAGGAAGGAAGAGGAGAAAATTGCAAAGCAGAGAGAACGTGACAGAGAGCAAGGAATGGCATATCAGAGGAAAGAGGCCGGGAAGAGTGCCGCAGAGAGTGCTCTGAGACCGACAGCAGCTTCGAGACCTAAAGCGGCGGCACCAAGAAAGGCTGCTCCTGCGAGGAGGCGGAGGTAAATTTGGGGGCGAGATCTTTGGTAGGTATCGTAGAGATAATGTGTTGGTATATGGAACCGCCCGTGATATAACCGCGGTTTGTTGCATGTTCTGGATTCTTTTTTCACAAAGTAATCCGTCCCTATTGTGATACTCCAAATAATTCTTCCGATAACCTATCCTCAGTACCAGACCCTTACTCGCAGCTTTCCAAACTCTTCTTATACGCCTTCCACAACTCTTCAACACTCTCCCCACAGCACCCCTTCCACAACTTCTCGCCATTGTACTTCTCCTCTCTCAATCCCTCATTGATCCTCCTCACAACGTCCTTCCCATGCTCCTTCTCTAACCACTCGAGGAAATATCCTGTCCTCTCATACCCAGCGTCCCAATCACAATCTCCATGCCTCTTCCAATGCGGCGGCGCATACCCAGCCTTCAGCCTCACCCAATCCGCCACGCCCTCCGTGAGGCCCACAGGTGCAGCGCCTTGTCCATTGTGTTGCCAGCAATGTACCATTTCATGAACTATAACACCCATGATCTCCTCTTTCTGCCGCGACTCAGGTACATGTGATATGTAGCTTGTGTTTAGATGTATCTCCTTGTGGTCGTCATCGAGATCTCGTCCCGTAGTGTATGCAACGCCGTCCATCTCCCGCAAGATCAGGGTGACGGAGCGCGTGCCAGGTATACATGATATGGGCAGGTCACTGTAGAGACAGCTGAGGACAGCGTCGACGGCGTATTCGAGCGCGTTGGACGCGTGGATGAGGCGGAGGAAGGCGCGTGCGCCATCGGAGGATAGGTCACGGAGTTCAAGGCGTAGGAGGGGTTTTCGTTGAGGTGTTACTTTTCCGGATAGGATGGGGAGTTGGTTGGTGTGGTCGGCGAGTGTTGTTGCGTTGGCTGAGGTGTTGAAGGGGTGTGTTGGGGGTAACGCGGAGGACTGCGGGGCGGGTGGGGTTGTGTTCGTGGTAGTTATTGAAGTCATGGTTTGATATTGCTTTGTTGTCTTCATTGGTAACCTAGATCGAGAATGTAGAGTTTTGGACACGGATTAAAAAGTCTCGGGACGTTGTTGCCTGAATTTGGTGCTACGTTTGGTCGTAAGAACACGCAAGGGCAACGGAGAAGCGCATTTTGTGCTTACGAACGATAAGAGACCGAGCCATGGTTACCCGCAATGTAAACTATTCCGTAGATCCAACCTTTGGTCTTAACGCTCTAGTGTTAATCTTGTGATTATTCTATCCAGTTTGAATCTAGTCTATGATGTAGTCATCATCGTTATAGCCTTGAAGATCCGCACGATTCATCTGATGCAGCTGCATGAACCCTGCTTATCCTTTTGCGCAAACACGATATGTTTATATGTACCGTCTCATGAACTCTTGAAGACCTCTGGAAAGATTTTGCGTAGCTCCTGCAAGCTCCTGATTTGGTACTTGCTTGCTGGCTGAGCGGGTGCAGGGTCGTTCTCGTCAAGCAGATGCGCCGTCTTCCACCCACGTCCCTCGGCTGCTTTGCAATTAATATAAGAATCGTCTGCGTCAGGACATTAGCAAACCATGTGTAGAGGGAACTTTTGGTCTCACTCACCCACGAAGTAGCACTTCTCGTTCGACTTGATACCAGCCTCCGCCATCGCCTTTTCAAACATCTCCACGTGCGGTTTGCAGTAGAACTTGTCCGAGCCGTAGTCGCAGAAGGTTATGCCCTCGAAAAGATCGTCAACCTGCAGAAGCTTGACGACACGCTTGCCATGGTTGATATAGGCATTGGTGAAGAGCCATAACCGGACCTTGCTCGTGTCGATGTCCTCGATTAACTTGCGCAGTTCTGGATTGGGCTTGATGACATCCTCCAGAGGTAACGCATCGTCAACCTTGCTGTTGTACTCTAGCGCATTGACCTTGTGGTGACGAACGAGTCCTTCGATGGCAAGACCATATTCGCGGTAATACCGGTAGTGGAGTTCGTTGGCATCTTCTTGCGACAAGCTCAAGTGGTTTTGGAAGAATTGGTCAATGAGCTCAGCCATCATTCTATGAATCTCAAGGCTCTTTGAGTAGAGACAGTTGTCGATATCGAAGAAGAAGACTGGCTTTTCGTTCTCGTCCACTGTGGCGTTGTTGTTTGCTGTTGAGTCATATTGACGATACTCCATGCTCTCCGGAGGCGCTGCTGTGTTGAAAGACATGGCTTCAACTTTATGGATACAGAGGGATTGATTCAGGCAATTGAATGTTAAAATGGGTTGGGATGATTAAGTTATCCAAGTTGTGTTGTCTGGATAGGTGGCGTTGGAAGATTCCAAAGATTGTCTACTTGGTGTAAGCTTTAATTATGGTGTTCGTGATAATACAGATCAAGCATCATACCTTGCGGCAGTGTAGACGAAAGCGAGGCGAATGTTCAATGTACTTCTCAAGTAGACGCGATTGTTACATTTACAGTCATCGAAACCGTGATGAGTACATGAGGAAGCCACCATCCCCTTCAGGCCTAGTGGCATTACTGGCGCGTGCACCTGCTGAAAACCAGAACGCGCCGTGGCTCCGACATTCATTACCCACCTGCTGGCGTGTTGCTGAAACTCGTTCCCCTTCATCATCTTCCCACCCAGCTCAGTCGCGGGTGCCGCCTGTATTTGTATAATCGCCAGTCTTGCGCTCGCTTGTTGGTGTTTGGTACTAAGCTCAGTTTCGCGTCTGTTGTGATGGCAGCACCAATCGCTTCAATGTCGACAGCCGCAGCGCCGCCGTCGCATCTGAACGGTGCCGGCGCAGTGTCTGCAGAGGTGCTTCGAGAGGCCGAGTTCCTCCAGAAGATTTTGCAGATACGCGATGAAGTGCTTGCTAGCAAACACCCGCGTATTCATCTTCCACCCAAAGTAATTGAACAGGTTGCACCGCGTCTTCCGCAGACTGCTTCTAGCAGACCCACGACCAACGGCACATCCAACGGATCTTCATCGCAGCTGTTTCCTCCGCGTCCAGCATCCTCCACACGGCCTCCCACATCTCCTTTACCCCCTACACAGCGACCATACTCGGCCAAGTCTTCCTCTTCGAGCATCGATCCCATCTTGCTCACAAAATCCGAACACCTGGTCAAGGCAGAGCAGCAGCTGAAGCGGCAACAGATAGAGCGCGCCCTGAAGGATCAGTTCGATAAAAAGGGTCGTGGCAACGATGCAGACGAGCGAGAAGCTCTCATCGATGTCGAGCAGTGTTTGATCAAGGCTCACCAGCTGGTTCCGCCTGTGTCTGGCTTACCGTCTCCGACTAACAACAGCGATGACGTTGAGTCATTTGACGAGAATTCGTACTACTCTAGCAAGGCGAACAGTTGGTCCTCAGAGGATGTTGATCACGCTGACCACGCCCATGCTGATGTAGCTCCACTGACTTCACAGGCGCAGCCAGCAGCCCAGCATGTGAATGTCCACTCTCGCCCGGCTGAGCCTACTGTGATCGATCTCGACGAAGAGGCCTATGAGCCGGCCGATGACATAGAAATCTATGAACCCGAGCCTGCACAACTGCATGAGGATGGTGAAGAAGAGGAAGACTACTCTCCGCCTCCAGCCGAGATCGGCCCAAGCGAGCCTCTTAGGGGTCGGCAGCGCAACCGCCATGGGGGTACGAATGGGTATGATACTAAAGAACTCTCTTACCTTCTCATTCCAACGTTTTTTCTTTTCGCATGTCGAATCACCAGCTTGGTCTTCACTACACCTGCGGCGGCTTATCTATTCAGGTTCAGCCATGATTGTATGGTAGCGAGTGTTGCCATACTGTGGACCATCAGCTCTGCTGCCTTGAGGCCAGTCATGGCTGTTCTTGCATGCCTCTCTTCGCTTCCTCATCTGTTTATATCTTCTCAATCATCTTCATACTAACGCTTTGTAGATCACGCCGTCAAAGCCCGAACGGTCCTGCAGCACCAGTTCAAAACCCTCGCAAGCGGAGAAGAGAAGAGAAGCGCGAGCGCGACGAGAAGAAGCGCCAACAACAGCAACAGGCTAGCAAACGTGTGGCCAACTCGCCCGAGCCGTACATTAAAGAAGAGCCGCAGTCACCTCCTCCTTTCGCTGCATACCCCGATTCGCAGCCCAGTAAGCGACGTGCGCTGCAGCCTCATCCCGATGAAGTAGAGCTTGTATCCGCGCAGAACAGTCCCAGGTTGCAACCTGTGTATTATCGTGATCCGGAACCTCTCACACGACCTTACCGCGAGTACGATGAGCCTTCGTCTCCAACTGTCATACGCACACCACAACGCAAATCTCTACGTGATGAACAAGATCTCAGGCGGGTCGCAAGTCTTCAATATGCACGACGACCTTACTCGCCAGGTGGTGGTGGCAATGAGTTGTACGCAGCACCCGAGCCTCGCCAGATTCGCGCAGCATCTCACGCCTTCGTCGATCGTACTGAGGCACCGATGTACCGAGAAGCGTCAGCTCGCCCATCAGCCGCACCCAGATACATACGCGAACGTTCACGATCACCTATCCATGAATACATGCCATCTCAGCAGCTCATGGCTCCACCGCCACGCCGTATTGTCGTAGATCAGTTTGGAAACAAATACTACGCAGCACCAGTGGATGCGCGAGAGTCGATGGCGCCACCTAGCAGACGAGTGGAGGTTGAGCCATACTATGAGCGCGCTGTAACGCGGGAGCCAACAATGCGTGCACCCGCACGTGCAGAGTTGTATGAAGAGGACGCTGTTCAGAGGATGCCTCCACCGCCTCGACGCTACGTTGAAGCATCGGAGTCTGAGATGATTGAGAGTCCGTATCGGCAACGGGAGCCATCCCGGCGTCCTGTAGAGGTGGAATACCGGCCTGCGCCACAATATGAAGAGATGGGCCCGCCACGAGAGTACGCGTCTGCACGATCGTACAGTATGCGCCCAGAAGTTGTTCGAAGAGAAGTGCCTGAAGGTTATGTTCGCCATGAGAGCATACAGCCATCTGCGGTTCGCGCCTCACAGCCTCGATTCCGTGAGGTCAGTGTTATGCAGGAGCCTTTTGATGAGCGTCGCTATGTTGGTGCACCTCAGGGTAGGCGATATGTCGAAGAAGGACCTATCGAAGTGGCCTCAGATCCGTTTGTGGAGCCGCGTCGCATGTACACGCGCTACTAGAGCTCGTTGGAACGATAGATTTGTGTTGAATGGTTGTAGGATACCCTAGTTAGTGTGTGTGATGGGCGTTGGTGTTGTAGAGAATTGTAAGAGTCTATAGCGTTGGATAGCCATTGCTAGCGCGGTGTATTCACTTGCATTTGTATTTGGATGCAGTATCCACTCCTACTCTTGGAAGGTGCTCTTCAGTGACTCGAAGTATCAGTGTCTCAGTGCCACCTGCGCACAGGTAGGGCTCCTCGGCTGTGGTGCCGACTAGAGAGTAAGGTTTTCCGTTTTGAGTCTGGTGAGCGGGCACCCGTCATCGCACTGCAGGGGAGACGTAACCGCGCAGTGGGCTCTGACACCAAGAGATGGGCAGATCGCATCCCCACGTAGACAGATGGATCCTGAGGGGAGCGCGGACTGCCTCGAGGATCCAGCTACAAGGGCTGTTTCGTCACACACACGCACAGTGTTTCTCACGCAACCGTGCCTGTTTGACGCGCGTGGGGTGGTTGCAAAGGTGAGGGCTCGAGGCGACGAGGGCGACGAGGTTTATACTTTGTAGAAAAGAGGGTGTGATTGGAGCCCTTCTAGACTTCTATTCTTACTCGGATATGCCATGATGCTGTAATACCGAGCCTGTCTGAGCGCCGGCTATGCTTGTTTGGCGATAGACTGGCAGGGCGCCTCCCGGCCCACACGACGCAGCACAGCTCAACAGGCACTGCAAGCACGCGGACAGCACATGGCACACGACCAGAAGAAAAAAGCACGTCAAGTTGCAATTCAAGGGACCAATCTCGAAGGGCGGTAGAAGCTTCTGCTTTTGGGCTGGGGGGTGGGAAG